ATACTCGAACATGATATTTATCGTATCTGTATCTGCTTATCAATAATGAACATGGACATCTCCAGCTAAGAAACACTCATACAGATAGCCTCTAGAATCAGATATGAATACTGATATACATGCGGAAATGCAAATATATATGTAGATATATATGTGGCTAGAAAGTAGTAAACGGATATGAGAACCAAATAATCTTGAGAAAAATATAATTCATGTGATACAGGAGTTTATTAATATGTCTGTTATATCTGAAAAGTTAAGTTTAAATATCTTGATCATCAAAAGTAACCTCAAAGTTAACTTAAGGATTTAAAACAATTGCAGATGTACGACAAATATATTATCAGATATTTTGGATACTGATTCGAATATTTCACCACATATATATATACATAACCATATCCTATTAAATATAGATATTTAGTAACCATATTCGTATAGATAAATCCACGAATACGGATTTATTTGCACCCGTACATTTGACGCCTCAAGAGCACACCTTGGTGCCTGATGAGCATGCCTTAGTGTCTCAAGCACTCGCCTAAAGCATGTGTGGCAAGGTGCAAAAGGTGTTTGTATTTGTTATGAATTTTTTAAGCCGTAAAAGGTGTCCAATAAAGTAAAATATGTTTTCATTTTGGAATTTTTCTTTGTTTTTCTTCTTGTTGATTTTTAGTTGTTTTCTGTTGTAATGTACTTTATTACCTACATCATTTTGAGAACATGCCACAAGATGAACCTTAAAAGTTCAAACTTAACCACTTAATTATGTATTTTAACGGTTACTAGGCAGTATTACTATCCAATATATGTTACTACACAAGTTGAACCATAAAGTTGAACCTTTAAAGTTCAAATTTTATCGGTTAATTATCTATGTTAGTGGTTACTAGTTAGCATAATTGTTGAGTATTCATTAACTTACTACTTTCAACTGTGATTTATTTGTCCTGTTGTAATTTTGCACACTATTTGTAATGCTCAAGGTTTTAAATATCGAAAATCGGAGAGATATCAAATGGCCAAAATTCATATCGAATTGCAGATCTCGGGCAAATATCAGACATATATAGTAATTATTAAAGCGTCATATCAGATGATGTGCATATATAACAGTGTCCTAAAATGTAATCTAAATATACTTAATGAAATCTAATCATAGAAAAATGTAAATAATAGGGTCACTAACCAATTGTAGAAATTTACTTAAAGAAAAAAAAAAGCATATTAGAATTTGCTTAAAAAAACATCATGTAGCTAGAACTTTTGTTGAAAACATTAAAGAAATTTTGTAGGACTATATTATTTAGCAACGAGCCATATAAAAGGGATAAATCAGTTGACGTAACGGCTAACAAATCGGCCATATTGGGGATATATCGTCCAAAATTTGCCAAAAACAGCAAAGGGTATTGAGTATCAGTTATATCAGGGATTTTAAAACAACTGTAATGTTTCTGAATGCTTTGAATATTTCATCATCTTAATTCACTCAAGTAATTGCTTGTTGGTGTCTCTCACCTTAGGCAAGATACAGCCTCATTGCCTTGGTCTCTTTCTCTTTTAAAACATTGCGTCCAACACTAAAAAGTTCTAAGGGTACGGATGTAAGCTAACAATAAACCAATCTCTGTCATATTCCTACCAATTCTTATGTATGTATTGTGGGTCCAATTATAATTTTGTATGTGTAACTGACCTTTAAAAAGTTTCCCATATCACCATGTCTGCATCATTGTATCCTTAAGTAGGCATAAAACAGGTAGTTTGTAAGGCTGTTTAATAGATAGACCATCTTTCAAAGGACCAAACTAACAGTGGATTCTCCATGATGATTATGGGAGTAACATGATTTTTTATTAGTATACATACAAATACCACTATTCCGATCAAATTTTCTGCGTAGGCTACAGAAAACAAGTAAATCAACTTCAAGGAACATTAAATAGAAAAGTGCTCATCTCCGAGAAGTTCACTTTGCACACATGTCATACCCTCAGAAAGAGTACGCAATCTCATACATTTTGTGGTTGTGCATTTTTATTCAGAAAGAACACAGAGGGGCAACATGTAGCAAGCGAATACTAAGAGTAGGAACTAAAACAATTGTATTATGATCAAGTTCTATTAGTACTAATGCCAACCGAGGAAGAGTAAGTCAATGTCCATGAACATGAAATAGAAAAGCAGTCATATCCTGGAAAGTGCACTTTGCAAATACATCACATGTAACAGAATTATGCAATATATGTAACAAAAGAGACTTAGCAATGAGATGTTTTTTTTATTCCAACATGTAAGACTTCTGGTTAACATACCTGATCCTCATAAACTCCTGGAGCCTCGTGACTACCCGCTAGGAAACTGCCCATCATAACAGTAGAAGCCCCAAGTACCAAAGCTTTCACAATATGTCCAGAGTTACTGATACCACCATCAGCAATGATGGGGACATCATAATCCTTGGCTACAGATGCAACTTTATACACTGCTGATGCCTGCAACAGTCAAATAAATTCTACACTTAGAAACATTTAACACACAGAAACCCCCAAAAGAAGTGAACATTCATGGATATCACAGGGTGGTAGTATTAAGAAAGCCTTCAAACCCATGGAGTTATCTTCCTTCCTAACAAATTTCTATCTCATCAGCAAAAGATGTGAAATTTACCTGTCCTCTGCCAACAGCACAAACCTCCTGAGTAGTACAAATGGACCCAGACCCCATCCCAACCCTCAACCCATCCACACCAGCCTTTATCAAATTATGTGCCTGCGCCATTGTCACCACATTCCCCCCAATAACATCCAATCCAGGGAACCTGCTCTTCGCATACCTAATCATATCAATCTGATATGTTGAGTTCCCCTGGGAGCTATCTATCACTATCACATTCGCTCCGGCCTTCACCAAATGCTCCAACCTCTCCTTGTCATCTTCCCTCGTCCCGATAGCTGCCCCCACCAAGAACCTTCCGTCAGGGCCCAGCGACGGGCTTCCGAGCTTCGGATAGCTCCTAATCCTCTGCACAATCTCATCCGTAACCAAATCCAGGACCTCGCCGTCATCAGCAGCAATAGGCGCAAGCTCCAATTTCTCATCAGCCAAGAATGCAGCAAGCTGCTCGAAGTTATGCCCAGCAGAAGCACACTTCGGAACTGGCCTCATGTAGCCCGACACCGGCGAATCCTTTTCCGACAAACTCTCCCAATCAGATCTCGCCACGACGCCGACAGGTTCTGGGGATTCGAGCAGCCGGATTCCGTTAGCGATCAAGAAGTTGGACGAGCCCGAAGTCGACTCGACGTAACGGAATCCGAAGGGGAGACAAACAGACGGGATCCGACGCCGAAACGGGATTCATGGCGGAAGATATTGGCGCGAGCCTCGAACGATGGGCGGCCTGGCTGAGAGGGGGAGGCGTTTGAAGTGGACCGATGCGCGCGCCGCCGAGGGGAGGCCATGGCTGACGGCCATTGGAGGCTCGGAGACGGTGTCCATCGGAGGGGCGACGCCAGAGGATCGAGAGGGGCAAGTTCCTCGAGGAGGCGAGACGAGGGTTCGACGCGTCGGCGGGGAAATTCGATTGAGCCGGGGGTGGATGATGAGTCGCTGTAGCGTAGGTGACGCCGCTGGAGAAGAGGCGGGCAGCGGTGAAGGCGCGTCGCCGTCGAAGGCGGAGGCGAACAGCCGTTAGGCCTCATGGGGTTTAGGGTTTGCTATGCTAGCGGTCCTGGAGGCGTGGGTGAGAGAGGGAATGAGAGGTGAGGAGGCGGCGGAATATTGTAGGCGTGAGGGATGGAGATTTTTTTTTTTTTTTTTTTGACTGGGGCGGGGTAGGGCCACGAGAGGTAGGGGCTGGTCGCTGTCTTGTAGAGATTCGAGTCACAATCATGTAATTCAATTCAACGGTGGAGATTTGCTGGATTCGGGTCGGGAGGGGTTTGGTTTGGGTTTTTCCGTAAAAGTGGAGCTCCTGTTAACATATTCGATGCGACGATGGCAAAAATAAACTTTTGAACGTTCGGAAAGGAATAGCGGCGAGTTATTCCTACGGGCTTTTTGGGAGAAATGCGCCAATGGGCCTTTCATTTAAGGGCTTGCTCAGTTGCTTCTTCCGCAAGGGAGGCCTTCGGCCCACGACTACATTCCTCACAAACGATCCTCTCAGCAGCGCGGCGCGGATGGGTGCGATCGGTCCCTTTCGTTGACAACTTCGACATCCACGTCCATCTCTGCTAAAATGTTGCGCTCCGTTGCGTTGAAGCACCAAAATAACAAAAATCGACCCATCATCTCCCTGTAAAAAGAAAAAAAAAAGTGGGGGGAAAAAAAAAGAAGAATTTCCCTCCTCCAATTCTCTCATTATCCACGCACAGACCTACGCAGGGACCAAAGAAACCTCTTTGGACCAACCGATCACAGCAAAGCAAGCTGAAAGCCCCAAATAAAAAAGACCTCTACTCTCTTTTCGTTCTCTCGCTCTCTCTGAATCCAACCTCGATCGCCCCCATCCATCTTAATGAACCCCGCGGAGCATCTTACCCTCTTATGGACGACGATCGCACCATAACCGCCACCGACCCCCAAAAGGTACAAACCCTCCCGAGTTAGGGTTTTCAGCTCAAAAACCTTTTTTTTTTTTAATTTTTATCTTCCCCAATCCAGTCATCATAGGTACGATTAGATTCCATCCCTAGCTTGAAAACGCACCATTGAGATTTTATGATGTTGCGGGCTGCTGCTTCCTCTTCTTCTTCTTCTTCTTCTTCTTCTTCGTTGAGATTCGTGAGGCAGTGTTCGTCATCGATCGACTCGGGCGCTGGTCGATGTAGTGTCCTCTGGCGTCGGCGGCCTCCGAGAAATGGAGGAAGCCCTCGATCGCCTCGGGATTGATGAGGTCACCCCTTCGCTAGTGACTGACGTCATAAGCTCATCAAGCAAAGGCAGCAGAAGCAGCAGTAGGAGGCTGCTTAGGTTCTTTTCCTGGTGCAGGAGAAAGAGTAATGTGGGTTTGGGGAATGAGGTTTTTAATCACGCCATCCGGGCTTTTGTGGATATGAAGGACCCCGTTGCAATAGAGATTGCGGTATCGGATCTCAAGCAAGTGGGTTTGAAATTGGATAGGGAGACATTTGCCCGTGTGGCGGAGGTCTTTGTGAAACTGGGGAGGCCGGAGAAGGCGGTTTCTTTGTTTAGGGATGTAGAAGAGAAACAGAGATTGAAGTTGCAACAAGGTAGTGAAGATGAAGAATGCTCGAGTGTAACAACGGCTGTTCATGCATTGTGTGCTAAGGGGTATGCTAGAAAAGCACTGGGTATACTTTATCATCACAAAGATAAGGTTAAGACTGAGGAGAAGTTACATCATCATAGGAGTCTTGTACTTCATGGATGGGCTGTTCATGGGAATGCCAAGGAGGCTCGTCGTGTGTTGGACGAGATGAAGTCTTCGGGAAATAAGCCATCACTGGCATCGTACCATGATTTCCTCCGATGCATTTGCAAGAGAAACCTTAAGTTCAATCCGTCTGCTCTCGTTCCTGAGGCCATCAATTTGATGACGGAGATGAGGTATTCGGGCATCTCTCCTACCTCTGTTAGCTTCAACATTCTGCTTTCTTGTCTGGGGAAAGCAAGGCGGGTGAAGGAATCTTGTAAAATCATATTCTCGATGATGCAAGGAGAGGAGGGGAAGGGAACCACTCCGGATGTGATGAGCTATTACCTTGTTATCAGATTGCTTTACCTTACGGGGAGATTTGGTAGAGGAAATAAGCTCTTGAATAAAATGATCGAGGAGGAGGATAAAGGGAGGTTGATGCCAAGGGCGAACTCGAGATTCTACCATCGTCTAATTGGCGTCCTTTGTGGAATGGAGAAGGTGGAACATGCGCTTAAGTTGTTGGAGCGGGTGAAGAGGAGTTGCCGCTTCTGCCAAGGGGAAGAGCAGAAGTTGGATAGCCACAATCTTGGACCAATATATGATCTATTGATAACTAAGGTCTGTAGGAATGGGAAATTTGAACTAGGTAGGCATTTGTGGGATGAGGCAGTTGAGCAGGGTGTCAACCTCCAGTGTTCCAGTGATTTGTTGGATCCTGTGAAGGCACCACAAGTATTCCAACCTATAAGGAAATTTTCAATAGAGGAGACTAACACAGGAAAATCCAGCAAGAGCACGATACTGATGCAAAGAAAGAAGAAAAGTGTCATTGCTATCTCCAAAAAGAGAAATTAGATTAAAGGGAAGAAGGGGCATTGATGCAATTGGTTCTCTTGGCTTTTAAAAAGATCATGCTTGGAATTTGGTTCCTTGTGAATTTAACATCTTGGGTTCTAGGTTCAGTGGCCTCGTTCTTAGTTCTCTTGAGTACTAAGTATATTAGTAGAATCAATCCTGTTAAATTTTGGAAGATTAGATGATTAGAATAAGTTATGTTTGAAGGTCTTCTTTCATGTTTTTAATGATGTACACTTTGATATGTTGTGTTGTCCTGTTTATTATTATTATATTCCTGTACTCGTAGCTGTAAAGATAGTTGTAAGCCATATAAATGAGTATTAGATATTACCCTCTCTGTAATTGGACTGACAACTAAAGAGTACTTGAATTAAATTTGACAAATAGTCAGACAGATCGGCATGTTTACATTTTCTGTATTCTGGCGATACATGCCGTATTTTAAAACATGAGTATGATGGTTGTGTTGTTTCTTAACTCCATTTCAATACTGAACCTGAGTAGCTCTGTCTATACGACAGAATTTTGGCAATTTTACACTTTTCTTAAACTGGTTTTGCATTCTGTTTTCAGGACTATTACAAAGTCTTGGAAGTTGATTATGATGCAACAGATGAGGCAATTAGATTAAGTTACCGAAAATTAGCTCTGGTCAGTTCTCTAAACCTTCTATATTCGTTTAGCTATCCTTGACATGCACTGTTAAATATCTATTGATTTAATATCATGGATAAAATAATTGGATACCTATTTCTATTTCGTGACTAGAAATGGCATCCTGACAAACACCAGGGAAATAGTGATGTTACCTCAAGGTTTCAGGAGATAAATGAAGCTTACAGAGGTACGTTTTAATTTTTCCGCATAAAAAGTGCATGCATTATGTTTTCTTGTGAATTCTGTGGCTTGTCATTTGCTAGAATATTTGGTAGACTTTCATATGCACAGGAACAAGGGTAGGATAACGTTATATATTGAAAACTTTCATGTTTGTGCTGTTTTATTTTCCTGATAGTTGCTACTGAGTTTAGAGTCAGTAGCACAATTTTAAATCGTACATACTGGATTGCTCATCAACATTTTAAGTAGCATCAAGAAAGTATCCATCCGTGAAGTTGGGCATAGTTGAAACTGATTAATTCCATTTTTTGCATGTTTGCAGTACTTAGTGACCCCGCTAAACGACTTGATTATGATATATCTGGTACTTATGAGATCAATAGATACACTTTACGGGTATGATTTGTATCTGATTTAGATCATTGATTTTGCAAATCTTACTGTACTCCTCGTATGATAACTATTGTTCCTTCTATTCAGGAATATCTTACAAGATTCAAGGGAATGATACTCACCTGCAATGGTCTTGGTATCAGTCATTCATCAGCCTGGCGAGTATTGCTCTAATTCTTTGTCTCGTGCGATAACTAATATTGAATAAAGAGCTTACTGCCATGGATTTGTTGCAGATCAAATATTAAGATAAATATAGACAACACGCATTGCGTTATAAACTTCCTTTATTTTTACAGGACAGAGCTGTTGATGGAAGGAGAACCCATTGATCAGACGAACAGTTTCTTCTTTTAATCTGTATGCTAGTCTCACTATAGCCTACCTGGTGTCAGTTTTTTGTTCACCACTTTACGTTCTTATTTGCAATACGTCTGTAATATGTATACACTTGTAGAGTTATTTATCTGATTTAAACCAGGAGCGTCACAATAAAGCCCACTCCAAATCGACTGTGTTTTTGTTCTCAAATCGGTCGTGTTCACTGTGTTGGGTTTCTAGTAATTCAGGTGTCACTTTACTCTTGTTTCACACAGATATTTGGATTATGTAAAGTTCTCCATTGTGATAGAGAGTTATGCCATACTGTTGTTGCTGTTTTGTTTTCCCCCCTCCTTTTTGTCTGTTCAACTAGAAAGTCTGCTGCAATGCATGCTCAGTTGTATTCTGATGTGCTTCGGAAGCAAAGTTAAATCTTGTGAGAGTTAATGCGGTAAGCTATGCTTCATGTGTTAGTTATGGGACATTTATCGGGAACCCAGACGACTGCTTCACATTTAGCTCGTTAATTTTCCTGTAGTTAGCGTTTTTTCTTTATTTAAGGTTCTCGGACTCCTTTTGCGAAAAAGAAAAGGAAAGTATCTCCAAGAGTAGTCACTAACAACATCAAATTTATATTGGAGCTTATATTGGTTTATAGTCAGGAGTGTAGGAATCTTTCTTCATAGTTGGCAAGTATTTGCTGAAACCAAGCTCTTATTAGGTCAATTGTATATGTTGATTGATATCCTCAAAAAGTTCTGAATCCTTTTAGGCATCAAATATTGAAAATTTTTGCCCAACTGTTGCCTGCAGTGAATTTGTTGTTCTTTTTAACGCGTAGTCTAACTTTAGCTTTCCTCATTATATGTAGCAGGGGTGGCAAACGGGTCGGGTCGGGTCGGGTCGTAGTTGACCCGACCCATATAAGTGTGACCCGATCCGACCCGTTTAATAAATGAATCAATACGATCTGATCTGACCCGTTTATTTAAACGGGTTACCTGACCCGACCCATATAACCTCATAAAACCAAACGTGATGCATGCTAGTCCCTGTGCTTTATAGAAACATCCAACCCATCCTCGGATATTGGAAATGCCCAAACTTTTATTAATATCTTAACCCAAAAAGAAATAAATAAAAGAGACTTTTCCATATTAGTCCCTTACACCTTCAGTATTCTGAATCAGCCCCCTAACTCATCGAGATTGCTATTATTTACCTCGTTTCCTATATTTTTTCTATTGTTGCTCGTGATTCGAGGCCTCTAACAACAAATTTCAGCGATTTAAGCTGCCTTCTCTTGGCAGCTCGGCGAATCGATCCAGTTCAACACGTTGATCAGGATCGAGGTGCTATCGTTGGATCCGGTCACCGCCCTTCGACCTTCTGACGTCGACACGATATTCGAGAGGACGGCGAGGATCCGATCCGTCAAGCTCATGTCGTCGGTTGCAGCTAAAAGGTGAGGGACGAGGTCCGATTCGACGAGGAGAGGGATGTTGGTGACGGAGATCGAGAGGCAGGGAACTAAATTAATATTTTTATGGGAAAAATGCTTCCAGTCCCCAAAACCCAAGAAAACATGCTTCCCGCCTTGAAGACTTTGTCAACGAGTGTTTTGCCCCAAAAATAAAGATTTTATTCTCTGAGCCCCCAAAACACAAAACCCAAGAGATTAAAATATGTGAAGACCATAATACCCTTCTCTCTCTATATATATATCATGATGTACTGAGATGATAGTTGAAATGATTGATGATGATTATTTTATTATTTTTGTTTTTTATTTTTTTCGTTGTTGATGAGGGGAACTAACTGTTTGTATTGAGACATTGTTAAAGTTACGGGTTAATTGTTAAAGTTACGGGTTAATTGTTAATGTTACGAGTTAATTGTTAAGGTTACGAGTCAATTGTTAAGGTTATGGATCACTTCTCTCTCTCTCTCTCTCTATCATGATGTTACTGTGATAATGTTGAAATGATTGAAGGGGATTGTTATTTTATTATTTTTGTTTTTTTATTATTTTCGTTGTTGATGAGAAAACTAATTGCTTTTGTTTGTATTGGGAGATTGTTAAGGTTACGGGTTTAATTGTTAAGGTTACGGGTTGGTTGTGAAGGTTACGGGTTTAATTGTTAAGGTTACGGGTTTAATTGTTAAGGTTACAGATTTGTTGTTAAGGTTACGGGTCGATTGTTAAGGTTACGGGACGGTTGTTAATATTACGAGTCGGTTGTTAAGGTTTACGGGTTGTTGTTAAGATTACGGGTTTAATTATTAAAGTTACGTGTTTAATTGTTAAGGTTACGGGTTTGTTGTTAAGATTACGGGTTTAATTGTTAAGGTTACGGGTTTAATTGTTAAGGTTACTGTAGGTTGTCTAAAAAAACATTACAGAAAGCTTATCCCCATCAAACACTGATGATGGAAGTTACAATTCGACGGCTTCCAGAAGGTTACAATTTGAAGACTTTCACATAGATCGATGAAGGTTACAATCTGACGACCTTCACAACAACTGATGAAAGCTCTAATCAACAGCCTTCACAATCAACATCGGGAGTTACAACCTGACGACTCTCATATTTTCTGGCAGATTTGATGAAGATTACAAGATAATAGTCTTTGCAACGCTTTGCAGAAGAAGCTATAAGTCATTGGCTCCTTCTAAACCGAGGAATTCATCTTCACGTTTCAATTCCTGAAACGCAGGCGACCCTCGCGTTTCCAAGCTTCAACAAGCAAAACACGAGCGATCCTCACGTTTCCAAGCTTCAACAAGCAAAACGCATGCGACCCTCGCGTTTCCAACCTTCAGCAAACGAAGCGCAGGCGACCCCCACGTTTCTAACCTTCAGACTCCAAAACGCGGGCGGCCCTCGCGTTTTTCAACACCCAGCGAGTACCCAACTCCGCGTCTCCATTCTAAAATGCGGAGTTAGGGTCCTGAACGTCAATGTGGGCGTTCGACTCATTCAAACACGAGCTGAACGGTTGCAGGAACCGTTTTCTCTCCACGATTTGAGAGATTTTCGCCCCACTTAGGAGCGGATTAAGGGGGCGGTTACACCCCTCTCAACCCCATTATGAAGAGAATTAAGAAGGGCAGTTACACCCCTTAATTCCCTATAAATATGGGTAAACTCAATTGAGTTCGGGCTGGCTTTTTCGGATCTGAGACTTGGCAGCGAGGAGGAGATCTTTGGCTTCTTTTTTGGGATCTTCGATTTGGAGCTTTGGAGATCGACCACCGGAGCTTTCTTCTGGCCTTGGCTTATTAACCGATTTTCGGTTCAAATCAACTCTTTTACAGAGTTCTTCTAAACTCGTTCAGAGTTCTAAAACTTGCTTTGCAAGTTCTCCACAGTGTCGAATCGTGGAGAATATATCGTTTCTGTGAATCAAGACGTTCGGATCGTCAACGGAGAGCAAATTCGACGCGAGCATTCGAAGGAGGTATTCCATCGCCACCGTAAAGAACCCAGAAATAAACAAAGGAGAGAATCCAGTTCAATCTCCTCTCTTTTGTAATCGGAAAATCCAATTGTAACTGAGATTAAAAGAATACAAATTAAATTTTCTTTCATTTCTCTTACTACAAATTTTCCACCAAACAAAAGATGGCGACTCCGCTGGGGACTAGCTTCTATGATAAAGAAGTGGTGGTGCAATCCGACGTCAACCTCGTTGGAACAACAGTCGAAACTCTCGTGGTAGAGTTTGATCAAGCCAAGTTTGAGGAGGTCCTCTCCTCCGGATCCCTTAGACCCAAGGCTATGAGTAAGATCCACAAAGTTTCTACGGAGATTAAAGCTCCAGTTGTGGCCGACTCATCGAAGGACTGTCTCCCTTGGGGGTTGTACTGTTCATACAGTCCCCTCTCTGAAGGAGAAGACTCGGCTTCGGCATAATTCCAAAAAAGTCGATCCTCCAATCAACACGAGCTCTGTGTTTGTGAGCCTCAATACGAGCTCTGCATAAGCCAAGTTAAACGCAGCCCTCAGGGGTGTGTTTCCCAAATGAAACGCAACCCTCAGAGGCACGTTCCAACATCAAAACGCAGACCTCAAAACTGTGTTGATCTGGCTGAACGCAACTCTCAGGAGTGCGTCCCAGAACCAAAACACAACTCTCAGGAGTGCGTTCCACAAACTGAACGCAACTCTCAAGAGTGCGTTTCAGAATCAAAATGCAGATTTCAAGACTGTGTTTCATCAGCTAAACGCAGACATCAGGACTGCGTTTCATCAGCTAAACGCAGACATCAGAATTGCGTTTCACCAGCACAACCTGGAGCTCAAGCATGCGTCCGGGTAATGAATTTCAATATAGAACCTGGTGTGTACCCCCGAATACTCTGCGTAGCGCGATTAGATCGAGGGGCGGATATAAAAAGTCCATGGATTCAAGGCACCTCAACCAGATCCATGCTTACCAAGAGCGAGTCCTGTCTGATCATAGACTGGGGGTTCCAGTTCAAACCTCACGGTCAGTGAGTAATTCTCCTCAAATCTTTACAACAGATTTGAGAGAGTTCGTATCGAGAGAAAGACCGATGCAACAAGTCATTCGTTCATTCTAATGTGAACGACTGATTCTTATGGTCCTCTCGAAATGTCAATGCTGCTCATATGAGGGCAAACCATTGGTGTTCAACCAATTAACGAACGTTGCCTTGCCCAACCAATGACGACGTTCGCACAAGAAGAAATCTTCAGAGACCGAATATCCTAAGGTCACTATCAATGTGATTGGCAGAAGGAAAGCCTCTGGTCCTAGTTCCGATGACTCTGAGACAAGTCGTTCACCGACCGTCAGAGAAATCGCTAACAAGTTTGAAGGAATCTACCAACGTACTCGGACTCGAACAGGAGCCATTCCCCCTGTCAACTATCGGAGGTTAGCCGGGGGAACCAATTCCGATGATGAACACTCAGCCATTACAGAGTCCCAATCATCAAGCTCTTATGTTGAACATAAGAGCTCCGCTTATATGACGGGAAACCATGAAGATCTTTCAAAGAGGATTGATGAGTAGGAGGCCATGCTCAAATCACAGCAGAAGACCCTCGATGAACTCCTAGCCATGTTGACTCAAATCGTCACAGACAAGGCCAAATCTCAGAAGACAGATTCGCCACCTAGGCAAGAATCCTCCCAGAAAGAAAAAACGTCTTCATCCCGACCTCACACAAGCAAAGGGAAGAAAAAAGTGGTTGATGACACGGCTTCTGACCAAGAAGCCCACAACCTGAAATCTTCCTTTGATGAAGGAAGAGAGAGTGAGAACGAGCAAAATCCCCAATCTGCTAAAATGGAAGAATTAGAAGCCC